GTCAAAAATTGCAATTTCAAAATTGGTTTAGCAGTTCATTGTCCCAGCAGCTGTGTCGATGCGTCTTCCTATATTCTTCCATCATGCCTTATAGCCTACCTCATATTACGTTTACACTAAATAAATCGAGCGGATTTCAATTGTCAATTCCATTGTTTATACGTCAAAATTTTTCAAAAATAAATTGATTTTTAAAAGTTTTCTTATACGCCGCCAATCGGCGGTTGTTATGATATGCATTTTTCAAGAATTTGTACAAATTTAAATAATTTTTCATTCAACATTTTCAATTTCAACAGCTGTTTTGATGCGTCTACCTGTATTATTCTACCATGCCTTATAACCTACTTAATATTACGTTTACACTAAATAAATCGAGCGGATTTCAATTGGCAATTCCATTGTGTATACGTCAAAATTTTTTCAAAAAAAATTGATTTTTATAAGTTTTCTTATACGACGCCAATCGGCGGTTGTTATGATTATATTAATTACAAAATTGGTTTGACAGTTCATTCTCCCAGCAGCTGTGTCAATGCGACTACCTGTATTATTCTACCCGTTTATTTCAACTGTCAATGTCAAATGAAATCGACTCTCAATTCCAATGGAATTTATTTGGCATTTACCTTTGAAAATGCTATTAATGTTGGATGACATTTGCCGCATCCAATCTTGCATGATTTATGGGCTATTTTATACACAATAAACGCTTATTGCTTTTAAATACATATAAAATTTAACCAATATAAGCTAAGTAAAAATATTAGAATTATCTCAAAACTCTACATTATTTTTAAAATTGGGTCACTAGATCACAATTGACGAACAAACAGACACGCTTTGCGTTTTCTTCTTATCAAATGTCAAAGTTTGTATGTAAATTAATCAGCGCCCAAAATGTTCCGAACTTGCCATTAAAAAAAACATGTTGACATCATATTTCTGAATTAAGTAAAGACCACATTTGATCGCGTTCAAATTAAAATTTTATTAACTGTATTTATAATCCATATATGTAAGACAAATATGTTTCCCAAAATTAAAAACAATAACAAAACAAACAAAATGGTAAACAAAATATGCCGAACTCAAGCTAAACAATAACAAAATTTGTTTTTATTGTTATTTACATATTTACGCGAGAGTTTTACAATATTCTCAACCATATATATTATATATAATAAATAAAATTCACACCTTAAATAATAAATGACAACAACGATTATCCATTGTTCATTCAAAATTTTATTATTTTGTTTTTAAATTTTCAATATATTTATTCTTTAGGTCAGTAGTCTCACTTACAAAAGGGCGCAGCTGTGTGTCCAAAAATAATATTAAATATTTTAATTGATGTCTAAAAACAGGCAGGCGGCCATTAAATCCAGACTTTGTAATTCTGGAATGAAGGAAGTAAATGGGTAATAACGAGTTTTTTGCCATCCAGAAGCCAAAGCTTGAGTCATCGGCTGGCTTTTTCGTAGAGGAACAATGAAGTCTTAGGTTGACTTAGTTCGATATTGGCCCTACGCTTCTTTGCCCGTCAAAAGAGCGTTTTATGTACTTTCACCTTAACTTCTTGCGGGGGGAGATGAGTGTATTGGCATTAAATTCACACCTTACGTCATATCCGTCAAAAATTTTAATAAAGCACAAATTCAAACCCCCTTTACGATGTAAACATAAAAGTTTCTTTCCAAATTTAGAATTTTTTTAAATATTGCCGGTAAATAGAAAGAATAATGACTAAGAAAAAATAGTAGCTAGCCATACTCTCTTTTAGAAAGGGGAATTTATTAATGGTCTGATCCAGATCTGCAAGAATGTAAAAGCCTTTACTACGATATCGAAACCTTTATTGTATCGAAAAAAATGCAAAACTAGTTGATTCTTGTAGGTACTGGAACAGAGCATAAGATTCATTTGATATTCTCAATACAGTGTGAACGTAATATAAGCCTTTAAACATATCATGGTAAAAGAATACAGGTAGATGCATTAAATAATTTTTCATTCAACAATTTCAATTCCAAAATTGGTTTGACAATTTTGTAGTCGATTCGACTACCTGTATTCTTTTACCATGATATGTTTTATGGTGGAAGAATATAGGTAGACGCGTCGACACAGCTGCTGGGACAATGAACTGTTAAACCAATTTTGTAATTGAAAATGTTGAATGAAAAATTATTCAAATTTGTACAAATTCTTGAAAAATACATATCATGACAACCTCAGATTGACGTTGTATAAGAAAGCCTATAAAAATCTATTTATTTTTGAGAAAAATTAAAGTTTTGTGACATATCGATGTTCCCAAGCGTTGATGCATCTACCTGTATTCTTCTACCATGTATGAGATCTCTATATAAAAGTATGTTTACACTTACTAAATCGAGTGGACTTTATCTGTCAATTCCATTGCGTATGCGTCAAATATGAAATCCAGTCTGTTTTATTTGACGTCTACGCAATGGAAATGACAGTTAAAATACGACGTCAATCGGAGGTTCTTATGATATGAATTTTTCAACAATTTTCACAAATTTGAATAACTTTTCATTAAAAAATTTTAATTTTTAAAATTGGTTTGACAGTTCATTGTCCCAGGAGCTGTGTCAATGCGACTATTTGTATTCTTCTACCATGAGATTTATTAAACACGCTTTAAAGTCTTTTTTGAACTTCGTCTGGAATTGACAGATGAAATTCACAGGATTTATTATAGGACTGTTCCAGAACTGCAAGAATGTAAAAGCGTGCTTGCGATAGAGCTTTTTTCCGGGTAAGCCTTCGTTATGGAAATTTATTTGAGGTATATACAGCGTAAGATGAAAAAAACTGCAATCAACTTCAGACCGCTGTCATTTCTTAGCCACTCGTCCGACAGCTGTTAAAATTATTCCAGTGACAGCTCATTATACTGTTTACAAGCCCACAAAAGCATTTTGGTGAGAATTTTCCAGAAAAAAAAAACAAGTTATTCGTGATGGAATTCAAGCGTGATAGTGTGATTTCTTTATATTAGGCTGGAAAACACAAGTGGTTATCGTTAGAGCACTCCAGCATTTAAATGTGAATAAATATTTTGTGTCTCGTACCATCGCTTGTTACCGTGATACTGGTAGCTTAGCCCGTCATCGAGGAAGTGGACGGAAGAAAACAGCAACATCAGCCGAAATGGTTCGAAAAGTAAAGAAGCGACTTTATCGAAACCCGCGTCACAGTGGCCGAAAAATGGCTCGTGAGCTGAACATATCGCAACATTCCATTCGGCAAATATTGAAATATGAGCTCGGGGTAAAGTCATTGAAATTCCACAAAGTGCAAGAACTTACACCGCCACAGATAGAAAATAGACTCAAAAGAGCTAAAGAGTTGCTTCGCTTGGCCGAAAGGTCGAAAGGCCAAATTTGGTTTTCTCCGCTCTCCGATGAGAAAACCTTCGTTGTCCAGCAGTTTTTAAACAAACAAAATGATCGTGTTTACTTGCCAAAGAAGTCAGCTGAAAATGGGCACCTTCGGTTGGCCACCAGAACTCAAGCGCCGGCCATGGTGATGGTGTGGTCCGCCATAACAGTCGATGATCGCTCTCCGCTGGTATTAATCGACCGTAGCATCAGAATAAATGCCGAATATTTTCACAAAAATATTCTGGATGGTGTATTAAAGCCTTGGGCCCGCAAACATTTTGACCGCGGACCTTGGACATTCCAACAGGACTCAGCACCATGGCACTCAGTACGCGCCACCCAAGAATTGTAACAAAATAAGGTTCCTCGCTTCATTTCCAGGGCACAATGACCCCCTAAATCTTCGGATACCAATCCGTTGGACTATTGTGTCAGGAGTATTTTGGAAAGCAAGGTTGTCACTAAAAAATACCAATATGTCGATCACCTTAAACAAGCGCTTCGCCGGGAATGTGCCAAAATACCGCAGAGCAACATTCGGGCAGCGTGTGACGGTTTCATTGGCCGTTTGAAGGCCATAATTCGTGCCAAATTTGACCAATTCGAACAAATCTAAACTTTTTCTATAATTTGCTGTCATTTCCCATGGTACAATGAAGAGAAGGTAGGTCAACTTTGAAAAAATTGCAAGTATAGAGGTCTACCTGTTTGGCTTGTAATGTCAGAATTAGTATCAAAACAATATAAAATCAAACAACTTGTTGCATTGATTTTGAATAAATAATTGAAAACCGCGATAATTGAATGAAAGGTCAACACTTCTTTTCAAAATCATGTACTATATATCTCTAAAGGATTGTTTCGCTACAAAAACTCTAGATTTTGTCGATGCATACGTTGAAATAAACATTTTGAAAACACCCGAATTTGAATGTTTTCTGAACAATTTTTTTGTTATTGAAAAGAAAACACATACATAAACAAATAAAGATGACATATTAAGCCAAGAAAATAAAAAAAATTAAAATCATATGGTAGTTCTGCCCTACCTTGATATCATTGTACCATGTCATTTCCGACATTTTTTGCTTTCATTCAATAAAATTTAAAAAAAATGTAAAAATTATGGCGTTTGACTTTGTTGCAGTTTTTTTTATCTCACCCTATATATACACGTCGCGTAAATCCTGTGGATATTATTTGCCGTATACACTATGGAATTGACATTTAAGATCGAGTAGATTTCGTAAATCTAAACATACTCTAACATAACGTAAATGTGACTAAAGGTGAGAGCACGTAGGCAACTTGAAGTCTTCGCATGGCATATTTTGTGACATATCATAAAGAGATTCCAGAGCCGCACTCTAATCCTGCCATTGTTTTTCCTGATAATTTGGCATTCTTATGTACTCACACCTTAATTCAAAGCAAAATTTTCGTATTTGAAAACCTTATGGAGAACGAATTCCGTATAACCTTTTCAAACATTTTAGTTTTATATATATTATTTATTTTAATCGTTTTTAAATCTCCATTTTTATTTGCAACTCAAAATTGTAAATCGTACATAATAATAAATACCTTAATTATATTTTGACAGCAATTGATAAGTTTTTTTATTTATTTAAAAACAAAAACAAACTTTATTTTTTTATCAACTTGTTAAATTGTGTGCAAATATTGACCAAACACTAGAACTTAACTTAAACAAAGCTACAAGCAAACTGATTGCAATTTTCCAGCATTCGAATTATATTCGAAAGCCAAGCTTTGCCCGGCAGCCAGAATAGGGGCAGCGAGAGTATAGAACAACTGATAAGACGACAAACGATCATTGATTGCATTCTCATCAGAACAAAGGAGAGAGAGTCTGTGTGCGAAAGGCCCAAGTAAACGAGCCGACAACAATGCCTGTCTGCTTACTGCATTTCCAAGATGCTGTGAGTCGACGAACAGCAGCAACAGCAGCTGGGTCTTTTGGGGGCAAACGTCATCGAAAGTCTAAATACGGTACATTGTTTAGAACAATTTCATTTGGACCAGGAATGGGAAGGTGGAATTGATAAAAGATAAAAAACGATGATCGGGAAAGTGAAAGTGTGGAATGAAAACTGTTATAAAGATATGTCAAATGGATATGTTTTTCATTTCATATTTCCTCGGGTTTTGAGGTAAATTTTTATTTCAATTTTTATACCCTCCATCATTCTACGGTGGGTATATTAGCTCATTTATTCCGTTTGTAAAGTTGAAAATACATAAAAAGCTTTTTTAAGTGGCTTAAGTCAACAGCTGGCTTTTTCATAGTGGAATAAAGGAGTTTTAGGTTGACTTAGGTCGATTTTGGCCTTACGCTCCTTTGTTCTTTTCTGAAGAAGCAAGCCGATGACTTAAGCTGGGAATACATAAAGCGCTTATCCGGCTGGCTTTAGTCATCGGCTGGCTTCTTCGGAAATGAACAAAGGAGTCTAGGGCCAAAATCGAACTAAGTCAACCTAATACTCCTTTGTTCATTAACGAAGAAGCCAGCCAAATATGCGCCTTATGTATTTCCACCCTTAAGCCAGTCACCGTAACTCCTCGAAATATTCATAATAAAAAAGCTGCATTCAAGTCGAACGCCATAATTTTTACATCTTTTTTTTAAATTTTATTGAATGAAAGCAAAAAATGTCAGAAATAGAATCAAATTTTAGTATAAGCTTAGATCTGTTCGAATTGGTCACCTTTGACACGAATTATGGCCTTCAAACTGCCAATGAAACCGTCACACGCTGCCAGAATGTTGCTGTGCGGTATTTTGGTTCATTCCCGGCGTAGCGCTTGCTTGAGGTCATCGACACTTTAATATTTTTTAGTGCCAACCTTGCTTTCCAAAATATTCCAGACACAATACGGTCCAACGGATTGGTATCCGGAGATTTTGGTGGCCATTGTGCGCTGGAAATCGCTTCATTTCCATTTTGTAACCATTCTTGGGTGGCGCGTGATGAGTGCGATGGTGCTGAGTCCTGTTGGAATGTCCAAGGTCTGCGGCCAAAATGTTTGCATGCCCAAGGCTTTAATACACCCTCCAGAATATTTTCGCCATAATATTCGGCATTTATTCTGATTAATATGAGCGGAGAGCGACCATCGGTTGTTATGGCGGCCCACACCATCACCATGGCCGGTGCTTGAGTTCTGGTGACCAACCGAAGGTGCACATTTTCAGCTGACCTCTTTGGCAAGTAAACACGACCATTTTGTTTGTTTGCAAACTGCTGGACAACGAATGTTTTCTCATCGGAGACGGAGAAAACCAAATTCGGCAGTTCACCACTTTCGGCCAAGCGAAGCAACTCTTAAGCTCTTTTGAGTCTATTTTCTTTCAGTTGCGGTGTAAGTTCTTGCACTTTTTGGAATTTCAATGGCTTTACCCCGAGCCCATTTTTCAATATTTGCCGAATGAAATATTGCGATATGTTCAGCTCACGAGCGATTTTTCGGCCACTGCGACGTGGGTTTCGATCAAGTCGCTTCTTTACTTCTCGAACCATTTCTGTTAATGTTGCCGTGCTGTTTTCTGCCGTTCACTTCCTTGACGTCGGGCTACGTTACCAGTATCACAGTAACGAGCGATGATACGAGACACAAAAGATTAACTCACATTTAAATGCTGGAGTGCTCTAACGATAGCCATTTGTGGTTTTCCAGCCAAATATAAAGAAATCACACGATCGCGCTTGAATTCCATCACGATTAATTTTTGTTCTGGAAAATTCTCACCAAAATGCTTTTGTACGCCGCTTGTAAACAATATAATGAGCTGTCACTGGAATAATTTTAACAGATGTCGGACGAGTAGTTTAGAAATGACAGCAGTCTGAAGTTGGTTGCAGTATTTTCATCTCATCTTGTATAAGCAATGGAATTGAAAATTTAAATTCACTAGGTTTTGTAGATCTGGCAACATGTGAACGTACTATTAGTATCACATGTGTATGGTAGAATTAAAAAGTTAAAGTCATACAATCACTGCTCTTTTCAAGAAACTGCGAGAATCTACTAGTTTTGCAAATTTTATTCGATAACATCAAGGAAAATCGGTTATCGTAGCAAAAAAGGTTGACATTCTTGCAGTTCTGGAACAGAGCACAAATATATAAAATTTTGTCAAAATTATTTATTTGGCAACATCTTAAGGTGAGAATATATAAGACGTTTTTTTGACTGGCTTAAGTCATCGGCTGGCTTCTTCGGAAATCAAAAAAGGAGCGTAGGGCCAAAATCGAACTAAGTTAACCTAAAAACATTTGCTCGTCTAGAAAGAAGCCAGTCGACTTAAGCCAATCAAAAAGCGTTTTATGTATTCTCATCTTCATTGTCAAAATGTATATTTATAAATCCAAATAAATCAGAGATGGAAACCTATTTTCTATGCAGTAAAATTTGACAAGGTAAATTACAGATAATTCAGAGATGGAAGTGTTTATTTGAAATGACTTTAACTTCTTATTTTTGCTATATAAATTTCTTAAATACATTAACAAAATAGTTCTAAAAACATCAATTTATTTTTCTATATGAGTTAACTTCCCATCTCTGTCCAGTATAACATGTTTTTTGCAACACCGAACGCACTTTGACTTAATGACTCATGTCAAGCCATAGTAAAACAACAAAGAATGCAACTTTTGTTTTTATTTTTTTTTGCTAGACTCCCTCATGTCATGCTATACCCTTTACGGCGACCGTCTTTAATTAACCGGTCTCTGAGTTGGGTTTCATTAATGATTCCAAGCGCCTCAGAACTCTATTGACTACAGAAGCAAGGAAACGTTTTTTTAAGATCACGGCTAGTTTGAAAGATGATTTACAGTTGAAAACTAGTTTCCCGCGACAGAGAACCAGTCTTGGGCGATTATGCATAAATGTAAATGACATGCATACTGACACCAACTATGCAAATAATTAAATTCCAATAATAATTATTATTATTAAAAATATTTACGATTATCGGAGGTGTTTTCACTTCTGGTATTAAGTGAAAAGTTAAAGATAAATTAAGGTGAAAATACATAAAACTCTTTCTTGGCTGGACTTGGGCCAAAATCGAACTAAGTCAACCTAAAACTCCGTTGTTCCTCTATGATGAAGCCAGCCAATGACTTAACCTTTAGTTTAGCTTGTAAAAATATTAGAGGATTATGTTGTCCAATTTGACATTGCGGAAAACTATTTTATTGGGTCCTCATTTGGATCGATGTCTGATCATTCCCCAATACAAACATTAGGAAAAAAATTAATTTTTTTTTATACATTTCAATCCACTGTTTCCGATGATGCGGATTCTCCTACTCTTTATAGGCACTTGCAATTAATTTTGCGTTTTTCATTCAGCCTGGCTTGTTTTGTTCTCCATTAACCGGTCTTCGTTTATTTCCATTGGCTTTTTCCACTCACATACCTGTTGTTGTCCAAGGTCAGGGATATGTTTTGTGTCTATCTTCAAGAAAACATTAAATAAATGCAACAAGAAAAAGTTCATTAACCACACGTTCCGTTTTTTGAGGGCTCGTCAAGCCATACTAAAATCAAGCAAAGAGTACAAGGTCTAAAAAGTGTTTTATGGACAAAAGATCATTGTGGCATTTTATTGACTGATGACAAAGAGTTCTTGTCTCGTAGGAAACCTAATGAATTCGTTCTATGCATGGTACAATAAAAAGGTAAGGTAGAGCTACCAGCTGATTGCAATTTTTTTCTAAGTGTGCCCAACTTTTGCCAATTTTGTGGATCTTCTCATGACCGGATTTATTTCAAATTCGGTGTAAAATCTACACCGAGATTATAAGCTGCAACCAACTTCAGACAGCTGTCATTTCTAAGCCACTGGTCCGACAGCTGTTTAAATTATTCCAGTGACAGCTCATTATATTGCTTACAAGTGTACCACAAGCATTTTGGTGAGAACTTTCTAGAAAAAAAGTTCTTCGTGATGCTGGAAAACCACAAGTGGCTATCGTTAGAGCACTCCAGCATTTAAATGTGAGTAAATCTTTTGTGTCTCGTACCATCGCTCGTTACCGTAGCGTAGCCCAACGCCAAGAAAGTGAACGGAAGAAAACAGCAACATTAGCAGAAATAGTTCGAAAAGTAAAGAAGCGACTTGATCGAAACCCGCATCGTAGTGCCCGAAAAATGGGTCTTGAGCTGAAATATCGCAATATTCCATTTGACAGCTATTGAAAAATGAGCTCGGGGTAATGCCATTGAAATTCCAAAAAGTGCCAGAACTTTCACCGCAACAGAAAGAAAATAGACTCAAAAGAGCTAAAGAGAAGTAACAGTTCGTAAACAAACAAAATGATCCTGTTTACTTGCCAAAGAGGTCAGCTGAAAATGCGCACATTCGGTTGGCCATCAGAACTCAAGCGCCAGCCATGGTGATGGTGTGGGCCGCCATAACAGCCGATCGGTTGCTCTTCGCTCACATTAATCGGCCGTGGCATCAAAATAAATGCCGAATATTATCGCGAAAATATTCTGGAGGATGTATTATTGGCCACGCAAACATTTTGGCCGCAGACCTTGGACATTCCATCAGGTCCTCGCTATCAAAATCTCCGATTACCAAACCGTTGGACGATTGTGTCTGGAGGATCTTGGAAAGCAAGGTTGGCACTAAAAAATACCAAACTGTCGATCACCTCAAGCAAACGCTTCGGCGCTTCTCTTCGCCAAAGTACCGCCGAGCAACATTCGCGCAGCGTGTGACGGTTTGGTCCAAAGTTGATCAATTCGAAGAAATCTAAACTTATTCTAAAATGTGATGCTATTTGCGACCTTTTTTACTCTCATTCGATAAAATTAAAAAAAAAATGTAAAAATTATGACGTTTGACTTTGTTGCAGTTTTTTTATGTCACCCTTCCAGCTCAGCTGATTACCAAACGATCTGTCAAATAAATTTGAATTCACTGCATCCTAAACAAACGTTTTTTTTTACTGTTATGGGAAACAAATTGACAAAAACAAAAAAATCCTTCTTCAACTTGTTTTTGATAGACTCTAGCAGCAGCGCTGTTATAAATATGTACATTTTTCAATTCAGTTGTCAAAAATTTGACAACAAATATATTCGAAAACTTTTATTTTCGCCTTAACCATGAATTTTAACATTTCATCTGATAAAATAACATCTGTTTTAGATTAATTCCCAAGGAGGAAGACCATATAATTGGGCCATGATTCAGCTATGTAGTTTACTTTAGCTCTAATCCTAAATGGAAGATTCTTACAGATTCTGGAACAGATCAAATCATGGTAGAAGAATACAGGTAGTCGCATCGACAAACCAATTATGGAATTAAAATTTTGAATGAAAAATTATTGAAATTGAGATTATTGATATTTGTTACAATTGTTGAAAATGCATATCATAACATCCCCGATTTGTCTCTTTAACATTTAAAAAAAATTTGACATATCACTGTTCCCAAGTGTTGATGCATCTACATGTATTCTTCTCCAATGGATCATGGCAGAAGAATACAGGTAGATGCATCAACGCTTGGGAGCATTGATATGTCAAAAAAATTTAAATGTTTTTTAAAATATAAGTAGATTTTAATAAGTTTTCTTATACGACGTCATTCGGAGGTTATTATAATTCGTGCTTTCCAACAATTTTTACAAATTTATATAATTTTTCATTCAAAATTTTCAATTTCAAAATTGGTTTGACAGTTCATTGTCCCAGCAGCTGTGCCGATGCGTCTACCTATATTCTTCTACCATGCAATGGATCAAATGATTAATTGGCAATTTCCTCAAATACTTTGTTAGAAATTCCAATAGGGACATGGCATGACATCGATTTATCGATAAATAAAAAATCGAATTTCTTACTCATACTTGCAGGTTGTTTCTATTTATTCTCTTTTCTATTTATCTCTTTTGTTTCTTCCCAATATTCGTAAATATTTTGGTGAATATGGCAAGTGAAAAAATAAGAAGAATGGAATTTATTTCAATTCCCTAGGAGAGACGAGCAGGAGGAGCTGACCTATCGATTGCATAGCGTGTTTGTTTTGTGTAACGCGGATGCATAATTAGATTCCAATAAGAATTAGTTAACTAACATTTGTTGGTGGCCAATGACATGAAAATTTATGGAATAATTATGAGGAGCAAGAGCATCCCATAGAAAGAAATTAGTGAAAGTTTATTTTTGAAACGACAACAACAAGAAAACGAAGAAGAAGAAGAAGAACAACAACGAACAAAAGAAGACGCAACAAATAGCTAATGATTATCAAATAAAATATTACGTTGTTTTTTGCAGTTCCCCCAGCTTCCCCGCAGACACCGAGAAACAGCTGATGTTGGGGACTGTCGTTGATGACTGTTGGCTTTAATGGCCACACTTTGTTTTACCAAAAAAAAATATCAGTTTGATTTTGCCTGTCTTGTTGTGCTGTGTGTGTCGACTATTAGCTACTGCTGCTGATGTTGTGGTGTCTTTCGTTGTCGTCGCTTGCTTGTGGTGGCCTTCATCGTTTACTTTAGTCGGTCGGTGGGTTGTTAGCCAATTAAAGCAAACAGCAAGCATAATATACGGGTTTGTGGTGTCAAACAAAAGTGAAATTTTTTACATATTTTTCGTGGGGAGCAAACATTTAACAGAGTTATGTTCGGGACATTTTACATAAAATACAAACAATTTTTTAGAAACTAGGCGTAAAAAAATTTAAAACAAAACCATCAATAATTATCTAAAAGAAAGGCCACCTAAAACAAGTCCCAGAAACAAACAAAAAACACAGCCCAAATAACAACTTAACAAGTCATCGACATGGAATGCACGCAGGAAATGGCGATGACAGATGATGACAACAAAGCCAAAAAGCAAAAGTTCTCCCCTGACAATGAAACCATAGACGACGAAAGTGCGGCCACATTGTGGTGGTCCATCCCCGAGCCGGTGCTCATAAATATTCTGCGTAGGCTGGAACCCCAAGATATATTAAATGCCTCGGCAACGTGTCGTCGTTGGTATGAGGTGGCCAATGACAATATCTTGTGGAAACACAAGTTTCAAGAACATTTTCGCACCGATCCTTCAATACCATTGAAACCTGGTAACCCGCTACGATTTTTCCTTAGTATTAGAATTTTGTAACAATTGTTTGTTTTTTTTCCAAACAGGTGCTGCCTCATGGAAAGATGAATATGCCCGCCTTACATCACGTATTCCTTTCGTTCAGTCGGAACGTTTATATGGTCACACACATCAGGTTCTGCATGTTAGCTTTTCGCATAATGGTGAAATGTTTGCTACCTGTTCCAAGGATGGTTATGTTATTGTAAGTGATATGTGGGAACTCGGGAGTGGGAAGAAGGTTTTACATAAGAGAAAAGGCGAAAGAGTCAAAAATATTTTTGGAAAGAAGATGGGTTTAGGAAATATTTACCGGGTGCACTAAAATGGGAAGATTCTGCTCATATCGCTGTAAACAAACCCATACAAGACAGAGAATGTGAAGTGATTCCGATAAAGAGAAGTAGTAGAAGTATATGTCTAAGAGGCAGAACTTAGCAAAATGTCTCATAGATTTAATTTCTTGTCCATCTTCACAGAGCCGTCAAAAATCCATGTCTTGAAGGGTGCCTTTAGTATGCCATGGCCCCAATTTGCAATGGTCTGTAAACACACCCAGATTACAAGTTCTATATCAGATGCGTTTAGAAAGAAAAGGGAAGTTACTTGTCGTCCAAAACGTATTGGGCCCTTTAGACAATCCTTGAGGTAATGGCATTGCCCAATTTGGCGAACTAAATGGCATGCCGATAGCTTCACTGAGTGGCCAACATCCACCTTATCCCATATCTCAGTCGACTTTGAATCTCTTTAATGAATAGAAGGATTGCCAAAAATGATGTAATACATTTCTCTTTGAATCTCAATCTGATTCCCCAAAAACCCTGTCTTTTTGAATTTTTAATAATTTTTGTCATATATACTTCTTTGTTTTAAAACAAAAAGCAAATACGTGCACATGGGTGTGATAATTTGCGGATTTGATAAAAAAAATTGATTTTAAACCATTCCATTAATAAGGTATTAATACTTTGTTACCGCGTATTGAGTCCGCAGGAGACAAATTTATGAATATAAAAACTCGGGCGGACCAAAATTTTAGGAAAATTCAACAGATATACCAATGACTATTATGCAAAAAATAAAATCCCAAAAAAATCCTGAAACCTCTTTAAAAACCCTCGATATGTCCCTGATTTTAACCTTGACAAACTCTCCAATCCACAAAAAATTTCCCAAAAGTCCGAAATTATGACCCTGACAATTTCCATAATTTATGTTTGTTTTTATTTTTAGATTTGGAATTCAACTCACCCCTGCACCGAACGCTATTTTCACAATATGAAACACTTCAATTGGAAATATACCCAGTACTCACAGTTCAATCAAAGTGACACACTGCTTTTGGTGTCCGGCGTACACTTTGGGGCACCACACAGTACTTCCGGGGAAATTGCGGTCTTTACAGTTGGCGAAAATGGTAAATAGCCACAGCCGTAGAAAATGGGCTTCTTGTTTCATTAATTTTTTTCCCTCTCCCTCCAACAGGTTCCCACATGCGTTGCCGTGTACGCAATCGTCCCTATGACATCTTTGGAACATGGTTCAGTGATCAATATTTAATATCCGGCGATCTTCATTGGTTGGCCCATTTGATTAGCACTTCGGTGTTGTGGTTAAATAAAGCCAATCAGGAGGTGGATTCGGAGCATGTGCCAGTTATGAATCAATTATATAAGCTATACAATCAAAATGCCAGTTCGGTAAGGGCCATAATGATGGCCCGTTGTCCCTGGTTGGATGAAACAAATGATCCCTTGGCCGAGCATACGGCAGCAAGCAAAGAAGAGGATGTAAGTAAAAAACAAACTTTTTCAAACATTTCTTTGTTAAACTTTTTATTTGATTTCAGTCCGATGATGTCGATATGGCCCCATGTTCTTCATCAAATGATCCGGGACGCTCAAACACCGTAGGCAACCCTCTGTCCCAATTAGCTTCGGTACGACATTCTGTTGATACCATCGAAAATGATGACCTAGAGGATGACTCACTACCCTCAACATCGACGAGACGTCGACGTACCCATACAACGGATGACATCTCAATTTATTTTGCCGATGAATACCGTCGTCTATACAATGGTGAGGGGTGCATTAGTGATTCCAGCGATGACGAGGAAGAAGAAAAAGTCGTAGAAGAAGAACCTGATGATATGGAAAATTCAATACCGAAATATTTAATATTTTCAACGGGTTCCAAAACCTATACACCCCATCAAATTGGTATCAAACGTATAAGACATGTTACGTTCCCCAAGAAATTGGATCCGGGTCCGTCGCTAAAGGAGCGATATGCAGCGAAAAAGGAAAAGGTTAGTTGTTAGATGGGATTGGAAAATTCGTGGTTTACAGGATTTACATTCCAATTTCACCAAAACACGAAAATGACTTCTTTCTATGACTTCTTTCCAAATCTGGCATTGGCTACGGAAATGCATGATGGAGTTTTCCACCCCAAAAAGATGTTTTTTTTGATAGAAAAGGAAAAGCTATTTTATCTTCTTTCCTAGATATTTTTTGTTCTAAATTTTATTAATTTTTTGCTATATCTTCCAGAATCAAGTACGTGAACCCGATCCTGATTGGAATAACTACGATTCGGTGGCAGATCGTTTTGATAAGATTGACAAAGTTATTGATTTGCATGGTCATATTATTGGCATGGCATTGAGTCCCGATCACAGGTAAGTCTCATCTTATTAATAGCATGATGTTTCATAATAGAATTTCTCATTTTCTCTTTTTACAGATACCTTTATGTCAACACCCGCCCATGGCCGGAAAATTATGTAATCTCAAATCCTTTGGAACCACCACCGATTGCCCAGGAAATTGATATACATGTTATTGATCTCATGACATTGAAACGTGTTGGCAATATGCTGAGAGCCCATAAAGCCTATACACCGAGCAATGAATGTTTCTTTATATTTTTGGATGTATGCGATGATTATGTGGCAAGGTGAGAAAAAGATTTTACACAAGACTGTGAATCATACAAGATCTCAGAAAAATAGTTGTGAAAAGTTCACGACTATATCTCGAATGATTTTCAGATAAAAAATATTTAAAATTCAGCTTATCACAATGGCCATTTTTTCAGATACATCAATTTGGCCTTCCTTTTAAAAATAACTTTTGCTCTTCGACAAAGGGAAAGCTCACTCACTTCCTTTAAAAATGCCTACTGGTCTTTTTCATAAAAATGTCTCCTGATTCTCTGTTTATGTAAGCTACCTAATCACCTAAGGCAAGACTTAGGGTGTTCTTGGATTGCAATATGTCCATTGGTCTTTCTAAAACAAACCCCTCTAATTTCTTAAAATTTTCTTTCTTTTGCGGGATAAATTCTTGCATTTTTTCGAATTTCAATGGCTTTGCCCCGAGCTCACTTTTCAAGATTTGTCGAATGAAATATGGCGTTATGTTCAGCTCTCGAGACATTTTTCGGCCAGAGCGACGCGTGTTTCGATCAAGTAGGTTCTTTACTTTTCGAACCATTACTGCTGATGTTGCTGTTTTCTTACGTCCACTTCCTTGACGTCGGGCTACGCTACTATTATCACGTAATCCGTAACGAGCGATGGTACGAGACACAAGATATTTATTCACATATAAATGCTGGAATGCTCTAAGGATAGCCACTTGTGGTTTTCCAGCCAAATATAAAGAAATCACACTATCCCGCTTGAATTCCATGACGAATAACTTTTTTCTGGAAAATTCTCACCAAAATGCTTTCGTACACTAGTAAACAATATAATGAGCTGCCACTGGAATAATTTTAACAGTTTTCGGACGAGTGGCTTAGAAATGACAGCAGTTTAATTTCACCCTGTGCATTTAGTCTTCTACAAAAGAAAACCAACTAACTTCCTTAAACAAGACCTCGGGGTCTTCTATATAAAAAACCCTCCTGATTCTTCATTTTAAATGAGCGTCCCGGTCACATAAAATGAGTCACTAGTGCCTTCTTTGCAAAAATCTGATTTTGTTATAAGTCTTTTAAGGTGGGAATACATAAAGCGCTTATTTGGCTGACTTAAGTCATCGGCTGGCTTCTGCGGAAATGAACAAAGGAGCCTATGTCCATTTCCGACCTAAGTCAGCCGAAAACTCCTTTGATCCTCTACGTAGAAGCCAGCCAAATATGTATGCGCTTTATGTATTCCCAACCTTAGTTTTCCTAAAAGAAAAACTTCTAATTTCTTAATGAAAGGTCTTCCTATTTTCCGTGTATTCTTATTTAAAATATGTTATGATGATGACCGTCTGGCCTGGATCTCTGCCTCAGTGCCAAAAAGAAAGCCGGTTTGAGACCTCCTAGTATTTAAAAAACCCTCTGTTGTCTTTGGTCCATTTTATTTCCCTTCAAAATTAACCTTTCTAGTGACCCCAAAAAAAAAATCTGGTCTTTCATTATAAGATAATCGTCTTGCCAAATTCACAAGGAGTCCTAATAGTCTCCTAAAAGCATTATGTTTCTCTGTTAGGAAATACATTTTGGCTCCAAGCACAAGAGCTTTTGTAAAACTATTTGCTTCTAAATTCCAAATAATTACTCATATTCTCTTTTAACAGTGGTGCCGAGGACATGCATGCCTATTTATGGGATCGTTACTATGGAATCTCATTGGTCAAATACAAGCACACCGATGTGGTCAACAGTGTTGCCTTCAATCCAAAAGATTCTCAAATGTTGGTTACAACCAGTGATGACTTTTCAATTAAGGTAGGAGAAATCCTTTTTTAAACTCTCTTATTTTTATAATTTTTTTTTTTAATTATTTACAGATATGGCGTTCAAAGGCTGCGGCCAAAAAACTCAATATTGATATGACGGATAATAATGAAGCATTCGATTTGAAGTTAAATAGAGATATGACTTAGAGACATTTATAGCAAAGCAATATAATTTATTTATTAACATTTAATTATTTATGGCTAAGGCAGTAACCACCAACCAACATAAGGAACAAGTGTAGCAAAAGTCTTAGCAAAACCATTTTACAAACATAGGATGAAGCTGGCATCCCTTTTATTATTTATAAGCTGATTATAGAAACATGTTTCAAAACTAACAACAACAACAAGCAATATAAATAGAACACGCCGTTAAGGCAACTTTATACCTCTACAAGTCGACGTAATATAATCCTACGATGCTTTGTGTATGGCAAATAAATACACAACTCTTTTTCTTCCCCGTAGTCTAGAGACTCCCAGAGTATATTTTTACATTTACCCAAAAAAGCCTACCTAACAAATCGTTTTAAATTTTGTAATCTAAATTACATAATCCTTGTCGAATAAATGATATTTCTTAATATTGAAAAAAAATTTAATATTTAGCTAATTTATACCGTTCATCATCCCCAACAAATAACAAAATATACGTTCAATTTTGTTTGTTTTAATATCCTGTATATTCATATATTTTTTTAATTTTTCTAATTGTTAATTTTATTTTTTATGTATTTTTTTTTTGTTATTATTTAATGTTTACTTTTTTAAATTTATATTTCAAATAAATATAGGCTATTAAATATATAAATTAATTGAACTCTGTTGTGTTTCTTTTCTACAATGATCGATCAAAGGATGGCATGTAAAGAAACATATCGTACTAATGATTTACTGGTTTCTTTTTTGTATGTATGATTGGTTGATAACTATTTTTAATTTAACATCTTAGACTAATACTCGTATGTGCTCTATGTGTGTGTGTGTGTATTGAGAAGATTTTTAGAGAAATTCTAAAATTTAATCACCAGTTTCATGATCATGATGCTCGCAGGGTTCGTTGTCATGGTGGTGGTGATTGTCATCACCATTTTCGTCATGATGATGTTTACGATTTCGTCGTTTCTTCTCGGGATGACCAAAACAGTTTTCACAATCTTCATCATCTTCCGAAGAGCTTTCACCAAAGGCAACGGGCTTTTTGTATATACAACAACCTGGAAAATGAAATTATGATATTGTTTTATATTGCATTTGAGAACCTTGAAAGTCCAATGGAATACATACATTTGGATTTCTTTTTGCCCATATGTTCGTTGTCCACAGTTCCCTCTTGCCAGCCAACTTTTTTACTGGGTTTTGGTTTATTCAGGCGCAAACGTAGAACAGGTGGAGGTGACTAAAAAGTAAAAATATTTATATAAATTTAAATACAAGAGTATCAAGTCAACTTTGTGTCCACAAGGAACTTTTGTGCTATTCTTAAGCTGGATCTTTTGGTCCTCTGGTGTTTCATGAAAAATGAGAACTTATGGGTCTTTTATGATATCAATTTGATCAGTAATTCTGGGATTTTTTAGTATGAAACCGTCTTCGTAAGACTATTTTCACTTACTAAGAAAAAATCTGGCATTTTAAGACATTCTTCTCTTTTAAATAGTTTGTAAGTTTCTTGATATGAAACGATAACATTATTTTTAATAGAAGGTCTTCTGGCTCCTTCAGGGTGAAACCTTATGGTCTGATCCATAAGACAAAGACTCAATAATTTCTGCTGCTTTCTGATCTCATGCTTTTATAACTCCAAAATGTCTTCTGGCATTTGTTAAAGAAGTTTTGGACGTTTTTCGGGGGAAATTTTTCGGAAAACCAAAATGTCCGTTTTTTTTCTTTACATTTGTTTAAAAATTTTTTTTTACATTTGTTGCTAAGCTTCGTGGAAGCCTCATCAGAGTGTATTTTTTAAAAGATAATCTAATTTTCTGTTCTAGATGACAATTTTTTCCCGTCTCCGAAAGGGGGCCTACTTAAAAACTTTCCAGTCTTTTTACAAATAAGTCGTTGATCATATTTAGAATAAACTATTGACGGCTACTCTTAAGCTTTTTTCCGACATTCTGAAATACTAAAACCAAATGGTCCCTAATGTAAATGATATTAACGCTTTCTTCAATACCTTCCTTCTTCTTGCAATGATCTGTAATATAAATTTCCAATTATTCTACTTAAATTAAAAATTCATTTTTTTGTTGCAACTACCTTCTGGCTCTTCAGCTCATCGCGAAAGACAAATTAGCTTCCATTTAAAATTATCTTCGCCACAAAAGAAACAATTAAGGTATTAAATATTTTGTTATCTAAAATAAATAATTATAATTGCCTGTTTTACTGCGCGTTGAATAGATTGCTTGTTTCGTCATAATGACATTTTGCAACTACTTAAGTTAAGGGACTTATCCACCTGGATTACTCATTGCATCGAAGTACTAGAAAAATAATTGTGGAATGGTACGTGAGGAGTACCAAATATGTAAATTTTTTATCAAATGTGTGTACTGCCTGAATCAGCTTGGAATACTTCGGGTGGGTGACCTACTTCCCTGCCCTGAAACCTAATTAATGCGTTTCATGTCATCGGTTATTGAACTTAGGCAAACATTCAGTGTTTTCCATAGCAGAAAACTAAGACCAAAGAGACAAAAGGAATTTCATTCTAAATAAATGGGACTGACATATAGTTCTGCTCCTCATTGTATTGTGTGTTGTCTGCGAAACTTACATTGCCATCAGTAGTTGTTTCTTCCCTAGGCAGAACTTCGGTTTGCGCTATCACCACGTCTGTTGGAACAACCGTAGCTGCCATTGTTGTAGTTTGTTTAAGTTCCTGGCTATTTGCTTATAATATGACGTTTTAATGTGGATTTTTAAAACATAAAGAACTTTTCAGAACGTTCAGAATAATTGCGGAAAAGTCAAGAATGCCGAAATGCGTGATAAAGTTGAAAATCAAAGCAAAAACAATTATTAGTAAAAGGGTTCTACAAGATCGAAAAATTCCGTTTAAAGGGATTTATAAGTGCGAAAAATTCTGTGTGAAGGGATCTAGGAACAACATTTTCTCCTTACAAAACAGGTGTTTTTTCACTGGAGAAATGAGTGATGCTAGGAACACAATTGGAGCGAACGACGAATTTCGCCCTACGCGGCGACAAAATGAGCCGCGAAAATTCGTCGTATGGAACACAATACCGACGAAATTATAAAACAGCTGATGAAGTTGTTTACTTTTTGCTCATTTGTTGACTACAATGAATTATACAAGAACACATAATTCTTTACGTTCTCTATTATAATTTCACTTATGTCCATCTTCTCTATTATAAATTCACTGATATCCATCTTCACTCAGGCGCAAGTACACAAATAAATAAACAAATTAATTATGTTTTTTTTATACGAGTAACAGATAGTAGAGTGACCATAACAAATTTTAAAGTAAAAAGTAACTTTATTTACTAAAACACATAAAATTCGTACAAGTATGGCCACCTTGTACTGTTTTGTTCGCCGGTCGCCGGCGTATGAAATAGAAATAAAGCAAATTGAGTTCGCGGCGACCGACGAAATTTTCGCCGGTGCTGTGATTGTGTGCACTTCCATATACACATATGTGTTTTATTTTTGACGACGAACATACGCCGCGAAAAAATTCGTCGTTCGCTCCAATTGTGTTCCTAGCATGAAGTTAATTGTTAAAGTAATTTTTTTAATTATATTGTAAAATTTATTTCTTCATAGCATAAAATTAGTTTACGATTACTTAATTAAGCGATTTTATTGAGTATATATCATAAATAAACTCTCAAAACCAGTTAATTTTATTCGACGTATGCAATGAAACTGACAAATGGGTTTTATGGTAGAAGAATACAGGTAGTCGCAACGACACATTTTAAATGAAAAATTGTTCAAATTCTTTAAAATTATAAAACCTCCGATTGGTAACGTATAAGAAAACATATCAAAATCTACTCGTTTTTTGAAAAAACATTTTAAAAAATTTGGCATATGAATGTTTCCAAGTGTTGATGGATCTACCTGTATTATTCTACCACAAATAGATTTGCTAAGGTGAGAATACGTAAAACAATTTTCTGTCTGGCTAAAGCCATCAGCTGGTTTCTTCGGAATAGAACAAAGGTGCTTAGGGTCAATACCGAACTGTGTTAACCTAAAACTTCTTTGTTAAGCTGGGAATACATAAAGCGCTTATTTGGCTGGCTTAAGTCATCGGCTGGCTTCTTCGGAAATGAACAAAGGAGTCTAGGGCCAAAATCGAACTAGGTCAACCTAAAACTCCTTTGTTCGTCTACGAAGAAGCCAGCCGATGACTTAAGCCAGCCAAATATGCGCTTTATGTATTTCCAGCCTTACTCTACGAAGAAGACAGCCAATTAATTAAGTCAGTCAAAAGAGCGTTTTATGTATTCTCACCTTTATGTCAACGGTCTTTATGTCCACACCGAAATTGGCCAGCCGTTGACGGTTAACATGGGTAAAGATTAACATAATCGCGCTATTACACACATAACAAATCTTTAGTGTGCCTAAAGGTGTGGGTACATAAGAAGTCTTTGCCTGACATATTTTGTGGCATATCATAAAGGCATGCTAGATCCGTACTAAAATCCTGCCTGCGTTTTCCCTCAAAATTTGACATGTATAACAGAATGTTTTCCGTTTACCGAATTTAGTTGAGCCATAGAAAGGTAAAACCGTTAAAACCCCGTAATGTAAACATAATAACAATTCAAATAAAATTCCAATATATTTCCGTTTTTTCGTATTTGCTTCAAAGTTTTATTGAATATGTATTATTTTTTATTATTATTAAGTATGCGTATAAGAGTATATGGCACTATTTATTTTATATTTTTCATAAACTATATACTTATGTAATTATTTTTAAAGTTTCCAGACATACAATGTGACATATCACATACTGGGGGAACACATGGCGCTAAATATGTGTTTCAAGATGTTAAATAGTTACATAATATGTCACATCACACATCTGTAATATCATAACATGATTTGGACTTAATAACTAAATTAATTCATATTTTTTGAAGAAATTACCATACATTCAGAACTATTTTTTTTGTTGTAAGAATATTTATGTTATAATTGTATTGCTTTCACCATAATCATAAGCAGAATATTTTATAATTATAATATTGTATGAGTTTCTTATATTTAAGAGAATATCTTTATATATGACTATAAATTGATTTACTTATATGTGCTTAATATTTCATTGAATATATATTTTTTTAATATTATTTTTTTTTAGGTTACAGTGATACATTGTGGACGAGTAATGCTAGGAACACAATTGGAGCGAACGACGAATTTCGCCCTACGCGGCGACAAAATGAGCCGCGAAAATTCGTCGTATGGAACACAATACCGACGAAATTAAAAAACAGCTGATGAAGTTGTTTACTTTTTGCTCATTTGTTGACTACAATGAATTATACAAGAACACATAATTCTTTACGTTCTCTATTATAATTTCACTTATGTCCATCTTCTCTATTATAAATTCACTGATATCCATCTTCAGTCAGGCGCAAGTACACAAATAAATAAACAAATTAATTATGTTTTTTTTATACGAGTAACAGATAGTAGAGTGACCATAACAAATTTTAAAGTAAAAAGTAACTTTATTTACTAAAACACATAAAATTCGTACAAGTATGGCCACCTTGTACTGTTTTGTTCGCCGGTCGCCGGCGTATGAAATAGAAATAAAGCTAATTGAGTTCGCGGCGACCGACGAAATTTTCGCCGGTGCCGTGATTGTGTACACTTCCATATACACATATGTGTTTTATTTTTGACGACGAACATACGCCGCGAAAAAATTCGTCGTTCGCTCCAATTGTGTTCCTAGCATAAGTTCTATATATCAATGGAAATATTTATATACAAAGATTAAATGACAAGAAAGGAAATTAAAAGAATTTTAAGGAAGAGAAACGGATTGCGAATATATAGTCTTAGACCATGTTTACATTTAAGTCACGCATCACGTCAAAGTGCTTATAACGATTAATTTCACACCAAATGCATTATGACGTCAGCCGAAGGGTCCCAATGTAAACATAGCCTTAGCTTGTATTTGAAGAAATTCCAGGATTGTTAAAATTCATGCCATGTTTGTGTCATCTCCCGCTGGCATCCAAAGTTAGACTTCCTGTAAAAGAGATGCAATATTTAATTCGGTCTGAGAGAAATGATTTGCACAGAAAGTATTTAAACCAGGGCAAGGCAGAGAGCCTCAAAAATTTTTTGTGATTGTATGTGTTTTGAAATAACAAAATATTGCAAGTGTTTTTTTGCCTCTCTTTGCACAGTGAGAAATATTTTGTTGGCTTTTTTTGATTTTTATATTTCGGGTTTCATAGCAAATTAAACTTTTCAACTCATTAAAAAAAAAACGCTGTTATATTAAAACTATTAAATAAACTATAAATTATTTTGTAAGAGAATAGATAACACGAATGATGCAAAAAATATTTAATTAAAAAAAATATTTTCATAAAGTTTTATCAAATTATGGAAATGAAAATTATTAAAATAATGATAATAATATGAGTAATAACAATTTGTGTGGAGAACTAAATGATATATAGAACCTTTCTTATTCACTATCGAAATGAAACTGAAAATACTTCTTTGTGTGACCAAATCAAAACCCAAATTAGTCCATGGCCATCTTTGTCACACCTGTTTCAGAAATAAAAATTAAATATTCAAAAGTGTTGAAAAGTGCATTTGATTTGAACCAAATATTGCAAAGCCAATAAAAAATTCAATTAAAGAAGAAAAATCTTTAAAGCTCCCTGAAAATGTGTAGTATGTTACATTTATGTACACAATTATTTCCTACGGTGCATTCATAAAAATATCCGACAGCACATTCCTCGTCGACTGCTCGAACAATACTAAATATTCTCCCAAAACCATTTTGACAGAAAACTCAAAACAAGTTATTTTTTACAATTGTGTTGGTGAACACACAGACATCCCAAGGGATACTCTTTGCCTAGCCCTGATTTAAACCAAGGCTAGGCAAAGAGTATCCCTTGGGATATCTGTGTGTTCACCAACACAATTGTAAAAAATAAATTGTTTTGAATTTTCTGTCAAATTGGTTTTGGGAGAATATTTAGTTTTATTCGAGCAGTCGATGAGGAAGGTGCTGTCGGATATTTCTATAAATACACCGTAAGAAATATTGAGCACATAAATATATCTTACTACATATTTGAAACAAATATTTCCAAAATTGTAAAAATTACAACTGATAAGATTTATTTTTGATTGATTTCTGTTTGAGAGAATTTGTATAAGGATTCACATGTTAATTGTCCTTCTAAATTACTAGACATTTTGATATCCTCCGATTTTTATGGAATGACATGAACATTCTTAGTCAATTTTAGGAAAAAAAGCGAGATGCGATGTTTATCATTCTGTTTGTAATTCATAAAAATAATCTTTTAGAACCCAACGCTGGATATGAGTTTCTGATCAGCATAAAATTCTACGACTATTTGCCAGCCTGTGGAAATCGGTATTACGTTTTAAAGGGTCAACTTAGATGGTTAGCATGTTATGTCCGAAATTATTAAACAAAAATAACTTCAAGATTTTATAAAAAATTGTGAAAATGTCAACTTATATATTTTTTAATTTTAAAATGAATCATAATTAAAATAATAATTATACAAATATATCTCCGAATTATCTGTCAAAATATTAATTTTTTACCAACTAAGTTGTTTTGAAAACAGAAAATTTTAAATTGAAAATTTAAAGATAACAAATTATTTCTCACTCTGTAAAGTCAGGCAAAAAAACACTTGCAATATTTTGTTATTTCAAAACACATACAATAACAAAAAATTTTTGAGGCTCTCTGCCTTGCCCTGATTTAAACGGAAAACCAGTAAAATTTTC